GGTCTCTCGGTTATTTCTTTTTTCTCTCCCGTGCCAACCCTGCCCCTGCACTAGGATTGTTTGCCACAATACGAGCACGAGATATTAGTTTTCCTATGCGTAACATGTAGTACAATATACGTATATTACAAAACAAGATGAGGAATGGGATTAACTTCGTACTAACCGATCTCTGCAGATGCATTGTTACTTTTCTGTCCTGTCGAAATAATCCCACAGAGCACATTTTAAACAAAACAACAGAGTGGTGAACAAGCTCATTTTCAGAGATACATATTCATGCCAATACATCTCAACATATATCACCATTTGGAATTAAAATTGTCTTCGGACAATTAAGTAAAATAAAGCCACAGATTACTAAAAACGATTTTATCATGAGACCGGAAATCGGGATCACCACGATCACATATTTGTTTATCCACTCATCCGATCATCGAGACTACATGTGGTATGGTGTGTGTGGGGGTGGATGGGCCAGAGAAGTTTTAGCGATTGCACAAATTGTTTTTGACATACAGAGGGGGTTGTACAGACGAATGCGCACCGCTTCTGCTGTAGCCGGCATCCGACAGCGAACCTGCCTCGATAATCCCCCACCAACTTTATATTGAGGTTGGAAAGCCTCGGACACGTTCACAGTGTGAGTTGTTTCGGTTAGGTTTGAAACCACTGCACGGGTGAGTGACTTAATCGTTCCAGTGTTCAGCCACGCAGGGTGGGGTTCACTAGTCCGTTCGGACAAGAACCTGACCGTGCGGCCTATGTACGTTGTTCCACGAGAACAGGTAAACGAGTATACACAGAATGAGACCGCAGAATCTAGAACTTTGTCCTTCAGTCGCAAACACCCTATTGGCTTGGACNAACGTCTTATCGATTGCGTCAGATAATCTTTGCATGATCTCAGCTGATGTGTCCCCTTTGAACGGCAAAGATATTTACACGGATTTTATTTCCTAATCTCGGTGTATTGTACAAAGTTTTCTGTGCACTGAACCATCTTGCTGGCTAAGCGCTCCGGATACCCGTTACGTGCAAAGATCGATCTAAAAGTAAGTAATTCTTCTTGCGCGTTTTCACTGCAAATATATCTTCCACCATCGGCTAGGGCATGAATCAGGTTCAGTTTTACC